CCTGCACCACAAACCCTGCACGGCGCGCCGCGCACGACAGCATCACACACCGCGCAGCCCACGCTGCGCCACACGCCGTGCACCTCGCACCCCACCTTGCGCACCCAACTCCCCACCACAGGCACCCCACACCGGGCATCCCGCGCAGTGCCAGCAGGGAGCAGAGGTTGCGGCCAGCACGTCGCTGCCCATGCTCACGGGCCGGGTGGTGTGTCCATCCAGGACAGACGGACAAGCCCCGGCCGACCCAGGGCTGGGGGTCAGCTGCCATGATCTCCGGGGTCGGTCCTGCTCTGCGGGGAGAGCAGCACAGTGCCGCCCCCCTGGCACTGCCACCGGCTCAGCAGGCAGAAAGAGGAAACTAATAAAATCTATAAATACCTAGCAGGGACCCCGTGGGGCCAAGTGTGCCGGCCCAGCACTGGCACCGGCGTGGGAGCGGGGCGGGGGCGGTTTCTGCCATGACTGCGGCAGGGACCCGGTGCTGGTGTGGCCAAGACGGGATCCCTGCTCTGTGGGACATGTCCTGAGGGGTGCTGTCACCGGCACCCCCCACTCTGCCCCGTGGCCCTGCTGTCACGGCTAAAATAACTTCCATGCTGAGTCGAAGGATTTTGGTTTTTCCTCATTTTCCAGCTGCAGGCTTGTCATGACTAATTTCCTCATTTTATTTCCCTTCCAGGTCGGTGAGCTCCGCCACCGCGTCCCGCTCTGCCCCTTGGCACGGTCACGGCTGCTCCCTACCCTCGGTTTCCCACTCGAGGCGCTGCCAAAGCCGGCACGAGTGGCCCCTGAGCCGGGGCCAGTGCTGGCCAGCAAACCCCTGCCCCAACCCAGCGGTGGGACGGGGCCAACACTGGCCGGGGCTGCTCCTGGTCAGACACGGCCGCCTGCATTGGAAGGATCCTGGGATGGACAGAGGGATGGACAGAGGGATGGTGGGTGGATGGAGCCAGCCAGGCCAGGCCATGCTCCCTGGCCTCAGGGTGAGAAAACAGCTCACACTGTGCAGGCACGGTGCCCAGCACACCAGCACCGGACCAGTTTGGCCCCTCTCAACTCTACAGTCAAACCAAAGCTGTGGGTGCAGGATGTCCGACCCCTGCTCCCCGCCACGCCGGGCACACACCACACCTACACCCGCTGGCCGGCACCACTGCTGCCATGAGGTGTGCCAGCCTCGGGTGCCTCCTGGCATCACCAAAGACACCCCTGCACCCACGGATGCTCCCAGCTACCGGCACCCCACGGTCCCAGCACCAGCCCCGCTGCCCACCCCAGCCAAAAACACCCACCGCGGCTCAGCCCCGGCGGCAGGGCTGGACGATGTCCCCACGTGCCACTGCTGGCGCTTCGGCAGCTTCTCCTTCCGCCGAGGAAAGAGGAGTGAGCCCAGTGGGACCCCAACCCATGCACCCACCCACAGAGCCATGGCCACACCATGCCCCTCCCGGGGGGGGATGTCTCCCCCAGGCACTCGGGGACCTACAGGTGCCCCCGCTCTGCAGCGAGCCGGCAGCGGGACGGCATCGAGAGGCGGCGCAAGCCAAATCGGGAGCTAGTGTTCGACCAAGGGCACAACGCATCCCACCACTGCCCCCCAGCACATCCCCCCACCAGGAGGGGAGGAGAAGGAAGGGGAGGAGAGGGGAGGGCAGAGATCCCCAGAGCCTCACCAGAGGTGACCCCAAGCCCAGGCGGGTTTCACAAAGGAGAGTCACGGGGCTGTGGCACGTTCACCGTCTGCCCGGCCGGGGGGGCCTGGGGTGGCCCAGCAACAAACGCTCACCACAACCAGACACCCGCCCCGGGGCCAGCCCTGCCACACAGCAGAGCTGACCGCGCTCCCCTGCTGCACCGTGCCACCCCTGCACCTCCCAGCACGCTGCCGTGTGTGAGCGCACGGCCGCGTGAGCACTGCAGCGTGCACCGTGGTGTGCGATGGGCACGGCAGTGGCAGGGCTGCAGTGTGCACCGCAGTGTCTGCGTGGTGTCTGCTGAACACGTGTTGCAGCACGTCTGTTGCAGCGTTGCACTGTGTTGGGGTGTGCGATAGTGTGCGCGAGTGACGTGCGTGTTGCAGTGCGTGCAGTGTTGCAACAAGCGTTGCAGCGCGCACGGGACGTGCAGCGTGTGTTGCAACGGGCGTGTTGCAAGGTGTATGCAGCGTGGGGCTGTGGGCAGGTGTTGCAGTGGGCGCAGTGTGTGTGTGTGCAATGATGCGCAGTGCAGTGCGTGCGCAGTGTCCCGCAGTGTGCAGTGTTGTACCTTTCGGTGGGTGCAGTGTGTGCGGTGCAGAACCCTGCAGTGCGTGCACTGGGGGTTGCAGTAGGTTGCCTGGTGTGCAGCAGGTGCAGCGGGCAGTGCAGCAGGCACAGGGTGCAGTGCAGCAGGCAGTGCTGTGGGCAGAGGGGGCAGTGCAGCGGGCGCAGTGTGCAGTGCAGCGGGCAGTGCAGTGCCCTCTGGCGTGCAGTTCAGCCCGTGCAGCGCCGGGCACGGCGGGGCACGCTGTGCAGCG